AGAGCTTTTCCATATGCAAATGTTGGTGCAAAATATGTTGCACACGTTCATATGACATCTTACAGGTCTCAGCTATCTCACGCACTTTCAATCTGCGGTCTCCCAGCACTATTTGATGAATTTTTTCGATCATATCTGGAGTTGTGACCTCAACGGGGCGTCCTGAGCGAGGCCCATCAGAGGTGCTCACACGACCCTTTTTAAACTCGGAAACCCACTGCTTAACGGTTGAATATGACGGGGAGGATGTCCCCAGTGTTGAGTCCATCTCTTTTTTAATTTCCTTCGGCGTTAACCCCTTCAAATAAAAGTATTTGATGACAGCACGATTTTCCTGCTTTTCCATTTTTACGAAAACCACAGAGGCGTCTTGTTCAGCGTGCTGTCAAACCTACACTAGCAAGGAGATCGGGCTGAAACTATAGCTACAAGCTATCCAAGGATGGTACTATAGAATGTCACCTCAAGGTAGGCCTAGTGGCGTCATCTCTTGGTTAGGCCGGAAACTTATCAATCCACCCTCGTATAAATGTCATCTTTGAGGTCTCCGTGAAGAAATTTTGTTTTGACATCAAAGGTCATTAAATGCATGTGGGTGGAGGCTGCAAAACTCAAATTCATGCTCTTCCTGCATGGCTTTGAGCCACTTTTCGTCTTTCAAGGCAGATGAAACAGGGATGTTTAGCACTTCTCCGATCATGGCTACATTTGCGCTTTCATCTAGATCCATCACGTAGTCTGCATATCTTGATGGTACTTTCAAGTTTCGACGATCGCGCAAAATTCTGATCGAAACTTTTCTTTCTTCTGCGTTATCCGATGATGAGTCAAAATTCTCTGAGGCATCAACGTTAATAAACTCATTTATTTCTGTTCTTTTCTGTCAATGTTGAGCTCCATTTTAGTGGATGTATTTCCAGTTTCATAATTTTCATTAAAGATATTTCCAGAGCTGATTACTTTCTTGCTGCATATAAATTCTGAAACTTGGCGAGTCTAGATCATAAACAACAAGCATTCCCTTTTTTGATGAGTCTTTTCTTATATTTTGCACCGCCAGTGATCTTGAAGAAAGAAATAACACTTGCAACCAAAACTTCATAGACTGTTTATCTTTACACGATGACCGAACCCAATTCAGCTGCACACTTTCCTTTCTCGGAACTAGTTCCAGTTTGGTTAATTTTAAATACAGCATAATTTACTACTTCAGCCCACAGGTTTTCATTAAGATTATTTGCATGGAGAACTGATCGTGCTAATTCAACAACGGTGCGCATTTCTCTTTCGATTCTGCCATTTTGTTGAGTTGTATAGGCGTTTGACTTACTGTGAAATACCCCAATATCTTCCAAAAGTTTCTTTACATCGGTGTTGATTATTTCTTTTCCGTTGTCTGACCGAAGGATCCTAACTTTCCGACCAAACTGATTTTCAACCATTTTCATCCAGTTTTTCATGCCATGTTTTGATGGAAGTAGCTACCATATATTTGCCAGACTTTTCCCGACGAAGCAGCATGGTATACAATTTCTTTTTATTTTCAGAAATTGCTAGAATTTTTTCTGTCTCGACAGTTTTAAAAAGAGATTGACTTGCATCAGCACTTTGCTTTTATCCTTTGTCCAACATTTAACTGATTGAAAACAAATTAAAAGTTAGCTTGGGTAAGAGTAATACATCTTCCAAAACCACTTATTTGAATTCTTCCCATCACACGCTTCCACTTCGACATTTCCCTACCCCTACCCCTTCAAGTTCTGTAGCATTACCCATAAGAAATTTTGTTGGTTCGTCAAATTTGATGTAATTAGTTAACCACTGTTTTTCAATAGTCATGTGCTGAGTGGCTGTACAGTCTTAGTACCAGGCTCTTGAATTTTTGGATTTCCGAGCGTTATGATCTATTTTCGCAGGTGATAAGCCGATGATGATAAATGCATGATCTATTCTAGTCTCTTTCAGTTCTGACCTATGGATGCTGCTGCTTCCTCGAGGGCAGTCAAATAACGTTTGTCGGTTATTGTTTTCAAAAGAATTATGAATATTTTTTGTTGCGTCATAAGCTGGTCCAAAAGCAACCTTTACATTTGCAGTTGTGGTGCATGCTTCCTGTAGTAAATCTCGCACACCTTGGAGACGAGCAATACATTGTTTTGTAAATAAAATCGTTTTCTCTGTTGTATATGATACGATAAAAGTTCCAACAAAAGAGTTTTTAAAAAGTTCTTTATTTTAGAAGTACAAAATAATAATTATCAAGCCTAGTCTGAAGCTATAATGATTTATGTTTTCATAAAAGAATACAATATTGATAATTTGTCTACTAAGCATTTCTAAATAAAAAGATATCTAGCTATAAGTATGAGAAAATATTGTCCTTTAAAAGAGTAGTTGTATTTAGCATGTAACACCTCCCCTTTGAGATAGAAAGTTATTCTTGTAATTAATTTTCCAAGGATGTCGGAGTCTTGTACTGTCTTCTAGATGTAATGACCGGTGAATTTCGGGGTGAAACCTCCCTTATATAGCTTATTGGGTTAGAAGTTGATGATGTCTGATACCGGACCACAGGTTCTTCTCTAGCTGTAGTGTTGTAGTTGACAATTCGTAAACAATGACCTGGATGACAAATCGGATTTGGTCTACAGAATTTGAAACATCCTGGGAAACAACAATAAACCCAACAAACGAATAGTAATATTGATGTAATTGCAGCCAAAGTGGTCAACCATATATTTTTGAAAATTTTCTTTTTTCTTCGGTATCGATTTTGCTCTTTCAAATAAATAGCTATAATTATGGTAAAATAGTATCCTTGAAAAGAGCTGTCGTATTTAGCATGTAACGTATAACAAGAGACCGGTTTATATTAGTTTCAAAAGACCGAGTTCCCAGCCCGTACCGTCGACCGTCCCCAATATGGACTGTGTTCGCAGAAAAAGCTAAGTGATGCTATGATAAAGAAATACTTTAGTTTTCAAGCACACGAAGCTGCTTTACATACGCACCAAATACGTATGTAATTAAATATTCTACTAAACGCAATCAAACTGCAATCTAAGACACTATGAACGCAAACTAATTTTCTAATCAAAACAACAAATTTATCAAATTAAATCGCAAAACCCTATCCGGCCTGAAGGACCTAATGTTTGTGTACCGTAGAGGAGATAAAATTTACCCGCTTGCCAGGTAACACATGGATTACGAAGAATATACTCAAATGGACTGTATGGACTATGGAGCAATAATTTTTTGGGCTTCTAATCCCACAGGCAGTTACTAATGGCACTATGGCGTGGCAATCTCGTCACTCTACATGGTCAATTTGCAAATTGTATGTGTCATAACTTGACTAGCTCACACGGTTCCCACCAGGATAGTGAATGCGCTTTAATTTCTCGCGGAATGTAAAGGACAAGGAACAAATGCAAAGAGTAAAACAACTACGAAAGAAATTGAGCCAAATAAAATCTCCTCACACTTAATCAAATTCGAAAAGGAAAATAAAATATCCAGTTTAAACATTATTAAATTGTAAATTTTTCATGAAAGGCATCATCATTTGATTAATTATTAACATTATTATTTAAGCCACTTACGCAGGTATGCACAAGGGAGGATTTGTCAACAGAGAATGAAATGTAAATTTAAAGGTTTTATTACCTATTTCATACATTACAGAAGAAGCACAAGTAAAAATAAACATACTTACTATTTCTTCCCCTCTTACATTTAATTGTTGGAAGTAAAGCTACAATAATAGTTGTAAAAATGTATTCTTCTAAAAATTTAAGCGACGTTTCGTCTTCTTATACGGAACTTTTTCAAGGCTACAATAAACTGGATTAGACTACATCGTATTACTACCCGCATCTGCGTTTTTGGATGTAATTATACAGTACAATTATATTGGGGTACACAAAATTAATTGTAAGAAAGTAGATAAGTACATCTGAAAAAAATATAATGTACTGCAATCCATGTTATTGTAGCCTTCAAAAACCCAGTGTGGGAAAGCGAAACATCGTTTGAGTTTTCCCAACATGAAACTTTTGCAACCCCTATCGTGACTTTGTCTTCAACAATAATAAATGTAAATTTCACGTATGTGTTAATTTACAATTGTTTGTAGTTTGCACATAATTTTATTGTATTGAGTTAAACGACTTACAGGCATCTGTAAAAGCCTTTCTAGATGCGAATCCGAGGCCAACTGCTTTTATAAACAATAATCCAGGAATACATAGGTGTTCGGTCTAGTTATGATATCTAAAATACTTAGTAACAATTATAAGACGCAACGTCAGCATGCAACGCATGTAAGAATAGTAATCTTTTCAGGGAATTGCATTGTTCTGATATTAATTAGCTTACTAAGATATTGAATAAGAAATGTAATGTTAATAATTGTGATTAATTAAAATCAGTTGTTGTTCCACTGTTAACCTGTTAACATCTTGATTGAATTATAATTAACGCACATAGTGTATTATTGTTTTCTTTCAACGGGGCAGCAGCTCATGTTTTTCTTAGCCAGTCGAATTTCAATCTTAAAAATAAAAAGCGTTTTTAAAAAGTAAATTCGGCGGCAGAAAACATTAACTGGCGCAGTCTTGCGGATTTTCAAAGACTTTTTCGGTGTTGCATTTGCGTTCGTGTGCGCGTGGAAGAAATCCCAAAATCACTAGCACCCCGAAAAACGAGAAGATCAACGAACCAACAAGGGTCTTCCGACCGACCAAAATCAAAGGGACCAGGAACCGAAGGAGGTCTTCCAACCCATCGAGGCTCTGAGAAGCAACCACCTCAACCCCCTGCAAAAACACACAAAGGGACCAGGAACCGAAGGAGGTCTTCCAACTCATAGAAGCTCTGAGAAGCAACCACCTCAACCCCCTGCAAAACACACCAAAAGGGATCAGGAACCGCAGGAAGTCTTCCAACTCATCGCAGCTCTGAGAAGTAACTACCTCAACCCCCTGCAAACAACGCAACTTCAAAGTAAGTGATCAATTTTGTTTATCTTTCAAAAAGTGTAAAGTGCATCGAAATATTAAGAAGAAACCAACGTAATTAATATAAGTTAGATTTAGCAATTTTACATGTCTGTAGAAATCTTAGATTTAGAGGATTTAAATCAGTCTATTAACTCAATTAGAATAAGCGACGTATTTAACACAAACGAAACAATTATGCCGAACCAAAATACAGAGTCATTAATTAGTGCAGCTAGAAATTATGGTGAGATTTTACCTAAATTTGAGGGAAAGAGTAGTAATTTAGAGACTTTCATTCTTAGGGTAGATAGCTTTTACCAAAAATATGGTAATACTGCAGATGTAACACTAAACGAGTATGTATATTGTTTGATTTGTAACAAATTAACAGGAGAAGCTAGCGATTTTGTAACTTGTAGACCAGATATTAACACTTGGATATTACTCAAGGAAGCTCTTAGACATAAATTTGGCGATTTTACTGATCGTAAGATCTTATCACATCAATTTAAAATGCTAAAAATTAAACAAGATGAAAATTTGGTAGAATTCATAGAAAGAATTAGGTCAGTACAGACAAGATTAGACATTAAAACACAGTCAGATTCAGCTTTAACTCGAGAACAAAAACAAATTCATAAGGAAATCAATGAACAAACAGCTTTAGAGGTGTTATATAATAACAGCCCAGCAATGTTACAAACTATAATGGACGTTAGGGAACACGCAACGCTTTCAGCGGCAACTAATACAGTTCTAAATTTCATCACAAAACATCCTCCCGAAAAGCAAAAGACTAATATTTCCCCAAAGGTTCACATTAACCAACCGATTAACAACCAATTCCAAAACCAAAACTTCACCCGAACTTCCCAAAATAATTCATTTGTAAATCGTGGGAATGTAGCACAAAATACATCGCGAAATAATTTCACAAATCAACCAAGAATGCAATCATTCCAACAAAGAAACTATAACCCAAACACACAAAATAATTACACATCAAGAAGTACATCTCAAAATCAGAATAATTTTAGACAATTAAACCAAAACACGAGTAGAGTAAACAATGCTCCAATTACAAGAAACACCCAAAATTTACCACCAGATAATAGTTTAAGATCAAGCACATTTCAACGTACAGCTTTTAAAAATTGGCGTCAACCGCGCATAAATTGCACGGAAGTTGAACCAGTAGATTACGAAAATCAAAATTATTGTGAGGACGAAAATTACTATGAAAATCAGAATTATTGCGAGGAAACCAACCCCGAATATTTCCCAGAGGACTACTATAATTGTAATAATACGGAAGAAATTAATTCAGTAGGTTGTAATAATGAACAATTAAACCAAGATCATGTAGATGTCGTAAATTTTCAACCACCTGCCTCGGACAACAATTAAATAATAGCTTTTTAACAAATTTCAATAGTTTTAGCACGTTACCATGCATAATGTTACAGATAGGAGAAAACACTCATTTAAAAATTCTTGTAGACACTGGCGCTACAAATTCACTAATTAATCCTAAGGTAGCTTATAATTATTTTCAGGACTATATTTATAAAGAATACTTTTTACTTAGAACTATAATGACGGAAACAACACATAACGAATGTCTTAACGTAGATCTATTCCAGGAAGAGCAAAATTTACAAATTCATTAATTAATCCTAAGGTAGCTTATAATTATTTTCAGGACTATATTTATAAAGAATACTTTTTACTTAGAACTATAATGACGGAAACGACACACAACGAATGTCTTAATGTAGATTTATTCCAGGAAGAGCAAAATTTAAAATTTCTCTTAGTTCAATTTCATAAGGACTTTGATATCCTTTTAGGATCAGATAATTTGGAAATTATGAATGCGAAAATAGACTACGAGATAGGGTCAATAGTATTAAATAATGTTATTCATCCTTTAACGCGTTATGACACTCAAATTGCAACAAAATTAGAGAAAAAGAAATTTTCAGTACCAATAAGAAAAGGACCGATATTAGTACCTCAACAAGAAGTAAATGGCGTAATAATCCCAGAAACATTAACAACCGCAGATAATTATCACTGCGAAGTTCCAATTTTTGGCATATCAAAAACAAAAACCCCAACAAAGACAAAGATTAAAGCACGACATATAAACCAAAGCGAACTAGACGTTTGTAGTATGTTTACAGCTAAACCATGTAAAAACGCGACAAGTACACTTCCTTTAGATTTATCTCATTTACCACAAAACGAAAATGGAGTAGTTAGAAACTTATGTGAAGAATATAAGGATATCTTTTATAAAGAAAATGACGTATTAACATTCACCAATACAGTTAGGCACAAAATACCTTTAAATTCAGAAATTCCAGTTTACGTAAAACCTTATAGATTTCCACAAGTGCAACGCAACGAGATAGATAGACAGGTTGAAGAATTAAAAAGACAGAACATCATCACGGAGAGTGAATCCCCATATAATTCACCAATATTTTTAGTACCCAAAAAACCAGATAAGAACGGAAAGGTCAACTGGCGTATGGTAGTAGACTTTAGGAAGTTGAACGAAAAAACTATAGAGGACAAATACCCTATACCAAATATTGCGAACATTTTAGATCTTTTAGGCAATTCCAGTTATTTTTCTAAATTAGACTTGAAAAGCGGCTATCATCAGATCGAGATAGAACCAGCAGATAGGGCAAAAACAGCATTTTCAACAGAACGCGGACATTGGCACTTTCTAAGAATGCCATTCGGACTTAGAAACGCACCTGCTTGTTTCGCTAGGGTAATGAACAGCGTATTACAAGGATTAATTAACAAAATTTGTCTCGTTTACCTCGATGACATAATTATTTTAGGAAATAGTTTTCAGGAACATGTAAAGAACATACAAACAGTTTTTGACAGACTTAGACAACATAACTTTAAAATACAGCTAGAGAAATCAGAATTCTGCTTACGCGAAATTGAATACTTAGGACATCTTATAACGACCGACGGTATCAAGCCAAACCCGAAATTAGTGGAAAAAATTAAGAAAGTTCAATTACCTACAACTATTAAACAGATTAAGTCATTCATCGGATTGTCAGGATACTATAGGAGATTCATAAAGAATTATGCAGCTATTACTAAACCTTTAACTTCATGTTTAAAAAAGAACTCAAAGATCGAACACACACCCGAATTCATTAATGCCTTTAACACTATTAAGAAAATTATTAGTAACCCCCCAATATTAATTTATCCAGACTTTAACAAACCGTTCAATGTGACTTGCGACGCTTCAAATTTTGGCTTAGGAGCAGTACTTTCTCAAGGTCCTATCGGACAAGACAAACCAATCATGTATATAAGTCGAACATTAAGCAAAACAGAAATAAATTATTCAACTATCGAGAAAGAATGCCTTGCAATCATTTGGGCCACAAAATTATTTAGACCTTACATTTATGGACAAAAGTTTAACATAATTACCGACCACAAGCCTCTTCAGTGGTTATTCAATCTAAAAGAACCAAATTCAAAATTAATAAGATGGAGACTGAAATTAGAGGAACATGACTATAACATAATTTATCGCAAAGGAAAAAACAACACAAATGCTGATTTCTTATCACGTATAGACGAGAACCCAGTCGAAATTGCAGATGACTTATTATCTATGTTCAACAACCCAGGTGATGTAAATATACGAGAACCAATCGAACCCAGTGATCTAGACGAATATCTTTTTATTAATGACAATGTTAAAACAGGAACAGATAAAAATAGCGAATCTTTACCACAGTCTAAAATTAAAATACTTTCGGACATTCAAGTTAAACCACCTAATAAGGAACCTAATATTCAAACTCCACATTTAGATAGGAAAGAACAACCTATGTTAGAAAGCATCACACAGCATTCACAGGCCGAAAACACAAATGCCACATTACCATTGACAGACAAGCCATTAAATCAATTTAATAATCAATTTACTTTTTCATTTTTTAATAAACCTGCTATAAATAGAATATCATCTTTTAACAAAACTAGGTATTTAATTAAGATAACGACAACAAACTATGCTAACGAAATCATAAATACACTCAAAGAATATGCCAATCCAAACGTGATAAACGCAATTTACACCCAAAATAAAGATCTTTACGAAGAAATAGCTTGTTTAATTAACCAAAATTTCGATAGTAGTATAAGATTTGTATACACAGATAGATTACTTAAAGACGTTTCAGAGCCACAAATTCAGAGGAACATTCTAAATCAATATCATGTACCAGATCACCGCGGAGCGCAAGAACTTGCTTTAGAGATAGAAAGAAAATTTTATTGGCCGAATATCTTAAAAGATTGCCAAAATTACGTAAATCAGTGTAACACATGTCAACAAGCAAAGTATGAGAGACACCCAGTAAAATATAAACTAAGACTAACACCAACAGCTAAGGTTCCATTTGAAACAGTTTTTATTGATATCTTCTCTCTTAATAAACGTAAATATCTTACCGCATTTGATTCCTTTTCTAAATATTTCATGTATCAGTCATTAAATTCAATGAATTACCCAGATTTAGTAGAAGCATATATAACCTTATTCGCTCATTACAAAATGCCAAAACTTTTAATAGCCGATAACCAGTTCAATAATTCTTTATTTATCGAAATGTTAAAAATGCATAAAGTACAACATCATTTCATTACAGCAATGCACCCAAATAGCAATGGTCAAATAGAACGGGCGCATAGTACCATTATTGAAATAATTAAAACAATTACATCGTCAAAAAATAAAATCTTAGCCTTAAATCCTTTCGAAAACGCAGTAATCATTTACAATAGAACGATTCATTCGCAGACCGATTATAAGCCAACAGAACTACTATTTGGACATTTAGATAATAACGACCTTCTAGAAGTTTTTGATGCTAATCATTATCATGAATATACATCAGAAGCATATGACAGAATTAAACAATTGTACGAAACGGTAAATAGTACGGAAATAGGTAAGAAAGGGAAAAACATCGCGTATCATAACGCTAGACGTCAAGATTTTAGAGATTATGATACAGGGCAATCAATTTACCTAAAGACACCACAGCGCGATAAAAGGGCACCGCGATATAGAAAAGAAATCGTAAAAACCAATTTAGAGGATAAAGTTATAACAGAGAAAGACAAAATATATCACAAACAGGAACTAAAACCATCTAGGGAAATAACATCAAAGACGTTTGTTACAGATGAGATCGTGGACGATTTTCATACTATGCATCTACCAGGTACTTCCAGAACAAGTAGAAATTAGAAATTTTGAAAACAATGCAGGTATATTGCCATTAAATTTAGGGAAAACTCGAATTCAGGCGACACAACATACATTCATACATAATTACCCGCTAGAACCACTCAAAGAAGAAATTTTAAAGGTAAAAGACAATTTGGATCTTGTTAATAAGTTATTTACAGGAAAGAAAGATATTAAGTCTAAACTTGAATTAAGTTATTTAAAACTAGAGTACGAACATTTAAAGAAACAGGTATTAACATTATATCCCCACATTTTTGATATAAAATCAAACAGGACCAAGCGAGGTTTAATAAACGCTCTAGGCACAGTTTTCAAATTTGTATCAGGTAATTTAGACGCAGGAGATGGCGAGAGATATGATCAAGCCATTAATAATTTAAAGGTAAATCAACAAAATATTATAAGTCATTTTAATAAACAACTTTCGATGAACAAGGAACTAATAAATAATTACGAAAACGTACTTAAAAACATTTCTAGTAATTTTGATATAATACAACGTTCAATAAATGCAGCAGTAGAACACTCCGACCTTTTTAATACAATAAACATGTTGAAATTAACTATAGTCGAATTAAAAAATTTAATCACGGAAATTCAAACAGGAATCAGTTTCGCACTAATGAATCATTTACACCTCAGTATAGTTAGCGAAGATCAGATTTTATTAATAAAACAAAAATTAACCAAAGTTCATGGTGAGAACAAATTTTATTCGAATGATAACATTTTGTTTACACAGACAATTTCTGTAGATTTTTATATTACTGAAAAACATATCGTATTTTTACTACATGTCCCAATTTTAAATGAAATAACGTTTAACCTATACCATTTATATTCAGTACCCACCGTATCCAACACCACCATCATACCTCCTACATCATATGTTGCTATTCATGAAAACAGTATTTATTATTTAAAACGAAAATGTAATTTAATTCAAAAACAGTATTTTTGTTCAAACGATGATATAGAGAAAAACTATCAACAGGACACATGTATTAAAAATTTATTACAAATTAAAGATGATCCCAAATGTAAACATATTCCGGTTGAAATTAATGACATCATAGTAGAAACAATTAGTGACGAAAGATACCTTGTAATTCTTCCGAAAGAAACACCAATTCATATTAAATGTGAAACAGAACAGATACATAGATTGAAAGGAGTATTTTTAGTAACACTTCCTTATTCTTGTTCATTGATAGCCAAAGACTTTGTTTATATAAATTTACAAGAATCAATACCTGAAAGACCAGTATTTTTACCACCATTATTTGAAAAGCCTATAAATGTCAAACCTATACGATTAAACCTCAAGGCAGTTCGTCTTGACGAATTAGCAAAATTAACTCTTCAGACTACCGATCCAATTGTGTATTTACCAGATGAAAGTTTTTGGACAAACGGTTCAAATATATGTTTAATTGTGTTATTTATAATCATTGTAATTATATGTACTTTTGTATTTTGTTATAATAGAAATAAGATTAAATGTTTTAATAAATTTAAGAGACCAGAGGTCAGGGAAAAAGATAGTTCACAAGCGTTTCCTTTACCTCAAAGAACAATGTAAATTCGTTGCCGAAATTTTTTGGGCTTCACCCCTAAAATTTCATTTTATGGGCGGAGGAGTTATGATATCTAAAATACTTTATAACAATTATAAGACGCAACGTCAGCATGCAACGCATGTAAGAATGGTAATCTCTTCAGGGAATTGCATTGTTCTGATATTAATTAGCTTACTAAGATATTGAATAAGAAATGTAATGTTAATAATTGTGATTAATTAAAATCAGTTGTTGTTCCACTGTTAACCTGTTAACATCTTGATTGAATTATAATTAACGCACATAGTGTATTATTGTTTTCTTTCAACGGGGCAGCAGCTCATGTTTTTCTTAGCCAGTCGAATTTCAATCTTAAAAATAAAAAGCGTTTTTAAAAAGTAAATTCGGCGGCAGAAAACATTAACTGGNAAAACCATTTTAGACCTTAAAACATATTTCAAAATTAATTACCAGGAATCTTCTGGAACCAGTGAATGACCCATGTTGAACTGTGGTCAAATAAACACTGGTTCGTCAAAAAGTTCGGCGCGTGAACGGGAATCGATAGTCGATTCGCGATCAGTCGATTCCGGAATGCGAAAGTCTACCCTTAAAAAGAGTACT